GCCCGATCTAGTGACAGCCCCACGGCCCGTGGAAGGGACCAGGGCCACGAGATGCTCACCCAGGACCCCTGTGCCCATCACCCTGTTCGGCAGCCAGGCTGATCCCCCCAAAGCCCCCAGGGTCAGCAGTGTGGTGTGGGGATGCGGACACACGAGCGGGGCAGCGGGGAGTGTGCCAGCCTGCACACCATGCAGCCCCGTCACCGCAGGGACCACCGCTGTGCCCCGTCTCCCCAGTGGTAAATTGTCACTAATTAGGAGTGTTGTCACCATGGTGATGGCAGTGATTAGGGTTGGGAATGACACAACCGGCTGCCAGGCCCAATTAGCTCCTGATGAGAGGGACTGAAGGAGGGAGGGGGGCAAGGAGAGAGCGCTGGGGGTCCGAGCACCTTGTGGGCAGCACTGCAGCAGGCATGGGGGGTGTAACCCCCCTGGGGCAGGGTGCTGGCTGCCCCCTCACCCCAAGGCTGCTGTCCCCAGGGGGCCGTGGAGTGGCTGTGGGCCCCATCCTGAGCGAGAGTGCCTCTGACATATTCTGCGGTAATGAGAACAGCCCCAATTTTCTCTTCCACAACCGGGGTGACGGGACGTTCCGAGACATGGCAGCTTCTGTGGGGGAGTAGAGGGAGTGGGGGAAACACTCGGGTCTCAGGGACCCCAGGGGCAGGGCTGGCTCTGCTTGCCTCTGCGTGCTCAGGCAGGCTGAGTGCAGGGTGGAAGGACGGGTCTGGGGACCCACAACCCTGCTGACCATGGGGGCTGGATGGAGTGCACCAGGGCATCTGTCAGGGCAGGGATGCTGCTCTGCATGGGGAGCAACCCTCTGGCGACCACTGGGAGCATCCCAGGGAGACAGAGGCAGGGAGGGGGTCCCGTCTCCTCCTGTCCCCTTGCCACTCCCCAGGGCTGGATGACCCCTACCAGCATGGACGTGGTGTGGCACTGGCTGACTTCAACCGCGATGGCCGGGTGGACATCGTCTATGGCAACTGGAACGGGCCACACCGCCTCTACCTGCAGAGTGGGGGTCCTGGGCGCATCCGATTTCGGGTGAGGAACTTGGGGCCAGGACTCCCTCAATGCCATCTTTGCTGCCAAGCTTCCTTGGCCGAGGGGCCTGGCTTCACAAAGATTTGGCTTCAAGCCCCAGTTCCCAGTGAGGAGGGGACCTGAAGCACCAGAGCAGGACTCAGTGTCCCATTCCCCTTGTCCATTGTCACCCCGTGCCTGTCCCTCACACAGGACATCGCCACCCCCAAGTTCTCCATGCCGTCCCCTGTCCGCACCGTCATCGCAGCCGACTTTGACAACGACCAGGAGCTGGAGGTTTTCTTCAACAACATCGCCTACCGCGGCTCCTCTGCCAACCGCCTCTTCCGGTAGGGCCAGGGGGGCCGAGCAGTCCCCGTGGCACAGCCAGGCTCAGGGGGCTCCTCTCCAGCAGTGCCACTGCTTGGGCTCAGCTCATAAAAGGCACCGTGACTGAGCCCTTCTCGGCGCTATTACCAACCACTGCAGTCGTGCCTGCAGCAGCCCCCAGGGCCCCTGGCACCACTGATTAGCAGCTGTGTGGAAGCTTGTTCATGGCTCCTGTTAACTGTGGGGGTCAATTCCTTGTTACTGCTACGTAGCACATCCTTACCTGGCACACAGGGTTGTAGGAGCTGGTTCTCCAGCCAGTGGGTGGGTGGAGGACAGTGGCATGGTCAGGAGCCCCTGTGGGATGGGGGGCGAGGAGGGGAGAGGCGATGAGTCTCCTGTTCCAGGGGGATGCAGCAGTGTTTGGAGATAGTGCTGCTGCTCCACAGTTCAGACCCACAAGATCCAGGCTCTCATGACATCCCTCTATGGAGCAGGGAAGTGGGGTGCCAACAGGCAGGGGCTAGTCCCATCCACCCTGCAAAGCCACCAGCATCATCCCTGGGTGACACCAGGGCTGTCACCTCTCTGCCAGGCTGCTCAGAGTACACTTCTTGGGAGCTGCTGGGGGCCACAGGGGCTGGTACTAATGCCCTGTCTATGCTCTACAGGCTCATCCGCAGGGAGCACTCAGACCCCATTGTGGAAGAGCTGAATCCAGGGGATGCGTTGGAGCCTGAGGGACGGGGCACGGGTGGGTCTCCCTGGCCCTGACAGTTGGAGCCTGTGCCAGTGGTATGCCACAGCACTGCGTGGCACCCTCCATGCCTGGGGACTCTGTGTGCCTGGCTAAGTCACCTGCCTGCTCCCCACCAGCTCCCTGGAGCCCCCATGGCCCAAGCTGCCCCAGAGCTGCCCCATGCTTTCTCCCTCTTCCTGTACCCAGCTAACAGAGCTGTTTCCAGTTGTTCCTCAGGGCTTTGCTCTTGGCATCTCCTTCCTGGATGCCCATGGTTCAAAGCCAATCTCTGTGTTTGGGAGGGGGCCAGGCAGCCTCCTGTGTCTCACAGCCTACTGGGCACTGCCTGCCCCTGTCCTCCCTATTGCCTCTGGAGCTGACCCACTGGATTGCAGGGTCCTATCCATACAGGGACCCTAATACCTGCACTGGGTCACCCATTTTCCCTATTGCCCCAGCAGCAGCACTCCTGGCAATCCAGGGTGTAGTGCTGAGAGATGTGGAGCCAGGCACTGGGCATTACCTGGTCCTGTTCTTGCAGGGGGTGCAGTGACAGATATTGACGGAGATGGGATGCTGGACCTGATCCTGTCCCACGGCGAGTCCATGGCACAGCCCATCTCCATCTTCAAGGGCACCCAGGTCAGTCAAGCAGAGGGTCCTTATGTTGTTCCTGTCCTTTCTGCCTCTCCCAGCTCAGCCTTCCTGATCCCTCCTCTCTTGCAGGGCACTGGCAACAACTGGCTGCGTGTCATCCCCCGCACTCGCTTCGGGGCCTTTGCTCGGGGGGCCAAGGTGGTGCTGTTCACCCAGCGCAGCGGGGCCCACCTGCGCATCATTGACGGCGGCTCAGGGTACCTCTGCGAGATGGAGCCTGTGGCACACTTTGGACTGGGTGAGCCAGGGCAGCGGGGGTGGGGGGCAACAGGTTACCTGCACCCCTAACCCTTGCCAGCAACCCCTTTGATGGGCTCCTGAGCCCTGCACCCTCTGTGGTGGGCTCCAGGGAAGGCTGTGAGCAGGGTGCCCAGCCACTGCAGCCCTGCTGCAAGAGGTAGCTGCTAGCTTCCCCACCCCTTGCCTGCTGTTTTGCCCCTGCTCTGCAGCTTCCCTGCCTGTTAACCCTCCCCTGGCTCAGCACAGCCAGCAGCCAAGCCTGCAGGGGTGTCGCTGTTTGCTGGCATTGTCCCCACATGTGAACCTCTTGGGCTGCTTCCCTGTGCACACCCTGTCAGGACAGGCACCTGGGACCAGCTTGGGGAGCTAGGGGCAGCTTTGCCCTTCCATCCCTAGCACCCCCCACCTCCTTTCAGCCCCTGCCCATCCCGGATGCCCCCTCTCTGATGGGCTGCCCGCCTGCAGGGCATGACAAAGCCAGCAGCCTGGAGGTGACGTGGCCAGACGGCCGTGTTGTGGTGCGAGCTGTGGCCAGCAGTGAGATCAACTCGGTCCTGGAGGTTCCCTACCCCCTGGATGTTGAGGAGCCACTCATGCCTGCCCCTCTGGAGGTGAGGGCAAAGTGTGGTCGCAGGGAGGGAGGCTTTAGGAGCAAGAAGGAGGAGCTGGGCTCCGCTGGCTCAGTGGCTGCCCAGGGCTGATTCCTCCCTGTTGCTGGGGGGTCTCTGCTTCTCCCCAAATGCAGTGCGGGCAGGGATTCTCCCAGCACGAGAACGGACGCTGTGTAGGTGAGTGGCTGCTGGGGGCACAGGCTGCGTGTGTGCTGCAGCACGGCCTCATGAGGGAATGTGGGGAGGTGGCTGGGCATGCAGGCAGAGCTGCTGCATGGCTTGATGCAGGGTACAGCTCCCTGCACGTGGCCTGGGAATGGGGACAGCAGCACAGCTCTTGAGGGGGACTGTGGTGTCATGGGGAAGTGGCAGGAGCACTGTGCCCAGGGCAGGAGGCACAGCTGGCAGGAGGAAGGCATTGCATTGGAGCCACAAGCAATGGAGGGCCAGCAGGGATGCAGCAGGGTGGCTGAGGCCGTGCCATGATCGTCCTGGGCAGAGACATAGTGTGTGCATAGCTGCCTCTGGGGGGGTCATCCAGCACGTGCAGGGGTAACCCAAGGGACCGTGGCCAGAAGCACCAAGCTCCCAGCCCAGCCATCTCAGACCAGGCAGGCATTGCATTGGAGCCACAAGCAATGGAGGGCCAGCAGGGATGCAGCAGGGTGGCTGAGGCCGTGCCATGATCGTCCTGGGCAGAGACATAGTGTGTGCATAGCTGCCTCTGGGGGGGTCATCCAGCACGTGCAGGGGTAACCCAAGGGACCGTGGCCAGAAGCACCAAGCTCCCAGCCCAGCCATCTCAGACCCATGCCCATCTGCTTGCAGACATGGACGAGTGCACAGAGTTCCCCTTTGTCTGCCCCCGGGACAAGCCCGTCTGCATCAACACCTACGGCGGGGACCGCCTCCGGAGCGACAAGCGCCGCAGGCGCCCAACGAGGACGGCACAGCGTGCGTGGGTGAGTGACAGTGGGGATGCCCTGACCCTGTGCCACTGCAACCTAGCCATGTCAGTGGGCAGCAGCCTCAAAATACCACCTTGGGATGCTGTTGCAGCCCTGTCAAAAGCCTGGCTTGCATCCTGCAACCTGCTGGGTGGCTGCCCAGCCTCATGCACCTCAGCTCTGTATCTGTTCATCCTGCACTCCCTGCTGAGCCCCCACTGATTCCCCTTCTCTCTTTCTCTCTCTTTGCTCCATCTTTCATTGTCTGTGCAGCTCAAGTGGCCTTTTTTGGGGGATATCCCTCTGCTGGGAGCTGGCCTGGGCCCCCCCATCGTGCCCTCCTCCCTCTAATCCTTGGACTCTGCCTTTGCCTCTATGCACTTTAACCCCTGCCAGAGCAGCCTTGGCAGAAGGACCGGCTGGCCTCTGCCTGTCTCTCTTTCTCTCTTTTCTCTCCATGTCGAACCACCCTGGAAGTGCCGGCTGTGCCCTGCTGCGGTGGGCACAGAGCCCAGTTGCCCGACTGTGCGGGGCTCCCCCCTCGCACCAGTGTCAGGGAGAGGGGCCCCGGGGCAGGACACCTTCGGCACCTCCCCGCCCGGCACTGCCCCCGCCACGCCGGCGCCTCCCGGGCTGTCGCTTGCTCCGTCGCCTTGATACTGTACCATGTGCCTGCTGGTTTGGCCTGCGACGTGTGTGCTTCACCTGCTCCCTCCTTGGTGACGGCGACCACCCTCCCCAGCCCTGGCAGAGGAGGGTCCCCCGGGGCCCTGCGGGGGAAGGACCCTCCTGGTCTGGTTTTTTTTTTTAATGTATTGACCCCACTGTTTGGAGTCAGACCCTGCTCAGTCTTCCAGCCCCACTCCCAGAGAACCCTCCCAATAAACTATATCCTGTCTATTAGCCTGGCCTGCTGAGCTGTGTGGGGCAAGGCTGTGCCCACATTTCTGCCCACCCTGCCTGGGGGCTGTACTGAGAGGGGGGGTGGGGGAGCCCCTACAGCATCCCCCAACTCTCTCTGTCTCTGGGACAGGAGCCAGCTGGAGGACACACTGTGGACCTGGACATCTCTGCAGCAGCAGGGCTGTGCTGCCTTCCTGCCCGTGTGCTGTAACCCTATGTCACTCTTCCCACCACCAGACATCAACGAGTGTGCCCAGGGCTTACACAACTGCAGCCAGCTCTGCACCAACACCCCTGGGGCACACCCCTGCCGATGCCACCCAGGCTTCCGTCCCCTCGACCCCACTGCCAGGCACTGCTTGGGTGAGTACTTGCAGGCAGCGGGGCTGGCAGCCTGCTGTACCCCCACCTGCTGCTGCCAGGCACAGCCATGTTGTGCCTTGCTGTGCTCACTTTACCTGGCCCCATGCCACCCAAAACATGGGGGACAGAATGGAGAGATGGTGGCTGTGCAGGAGTTGATGGCATGAGGAGGCATCTGCCACCTGGCAGCCTTGGACACAAGTGGTGGCAGGACCACAGCTGTGTGGGCACAGACATTGGAAGTGCCTTTGAGTCCCAGCTTCACAAGCTGCCCCATGCCCCCTCCATTCCCTGCCCTGCCCTTGCTGGATGAGCCCTGTGCCCTTGGGACAATTCTGACCCTCTCCCATTCTCTTCCAGACATAGATGAGTGCCAGGCACAGCCTGGCCCATGTGACCACATCTGCCACAACAGCCCTGGCTCCTTCCACTGCCACTGCCACCACGGCTTCTCCCTTGT